TAGCCTTACGCACCATATACGAACCCGTGGCCCACCGGTTTCTGCACGGCCACGACGTCTCGCCCCTGATAAGCTAAAAGCCGCTAAGGCGGAATTCGAGCACATGCTCGAACTTGGTATCATCCGTCCTTCCGAAAGTCAGTGGGCCTCACCTCTCCACATGGTGCCCAAGAAAGGCGGCGACTGGCGGCCCTGCGGAGACTACCGGGCGCTGAACAAGTGCACAGTTGCAGATAGGTACCCTATCCCGCACATCCAGGACCTTACAAGTAGTCTCGGTGGTAAGTCAGTGTTTAGTAAGATAGACCTGACGCGAGCATATCACCAGATTCCTGTAGAGGACTGCGATATCCCAAAACGGCAGTTATAACACCCTTTGGTTTATTCGAGTTCCTTCGAATGCCTTTCGGGTTAAGGAACGCTGCTCAAACATTCCAGCGGTTCATCCATGACGTTACTCGTGGTCTGGACTTCGCATATCCTTACGTGGATGACATCCTAGTAGCCAGCGCCTCTAAGTCGCAACACTTAGAGCATCTGCGTATTCTATTCCAACGCCTATCTGATCGAGGCGTTACCTTGAACCCTAGCAAGTGCGAACTAGGAAAATCGTCGATCGAGTTCCTAGGTCACCGCATCTCAGCTACAGGTATTGAACCACTGTCTCAAAAGGTAACCGCCATCAAAGATTTCCCTGAACCTACATCGTTTAAACAGCTTAAACGTTTCCTTAAGATAGTTAACTACTATAGACGCTTTATTCCGTGTTGTGCTAGGATAATGCAGCCCTTGACTGACTTGCTTCGGGGCAATCAACGTTCGTTTGTTTTTACCAAGTCCGCGCGATTAGACTTCTCAAACCTTAAAGACGCAATCGCTAATGCTGCTCTCTTAGCACATCCCGTACCATCTGCTCCGATTTCGCTCGTCACTGATGCCTCAGACGAGGCCGTTGGTGCTGTTCTTCAGCAGGCTGTCGACAATACCTGGCAACCTTTGGGTTTCTTTTCGAAACGGTTGCAGCCAGCGGAGACACGTTACAGCACCTTCGGGAAAGAACTTCTGGCAGTTTACCTCGCCATCCGTCATTTTCGTCCTTTTCTAGAGGGCAGAAGCTTTACCGTCTTTACTGACCACAAACCTTTAGTTTACGCCCTGGACTCGTCCTCCGACCGATACCCTCCGAGAGAGATACGCCACCTGGACTATGTCTCACAGTTTACGTCAGACATACGGCACGTCTCGGGTGTGCAGAACTCCGTCGCTGATGCTCTTTCTCGCGTCAGCTCCATCACGTCCGCTGAAGGTATCGATCTAACGGCAATGGCTGCTGCTCAACAGACCGACCCAGAGCTGGATCAGCTTCGTAATTCTAGCTCCTTGCGCATACGACCAGTTCCACTGCCTACTTCGGATGGAACCATACTTTGCGACGTTTCGCAAAATTCACCACGACCAGTGGTTCCCCAAGCTTTCCGACGCACTGTGTTTGACATTCTTCACAGTTTATCACATCCAGGCATTCGTGCCACAGTTAAGCTCGTCACACAACGCTTCGTGTGGCGCAACGTCAACCGGGACGTTAGACAGTGGGCTCGTACGTGCCTTAGTTGCCAACAGTCTAAGGTTCATCGACACACGAAAAGTCCGCTTGGTTCATTTCCAATTCCTGATGCTCGTTTTCACCATATTCATGTTGACCTTGTTGGGCCACTGCCCTCATCTAATGGATGCGTTTACTTGCTGACTTGTATAGATCGCTTTACAAGATGGCCTGATGCCATCCCAATGCCAGATTGCTCATCAGACACTGTCGCTCGCACTTTTCTAGAGCGCTGGGTCTCACACTTTGGTTGTCCTGCCGTTGTGACAACTGATCGAGGTTCGCACTTCGCAGGCACATTTGCTCACCTTCTTCAGACCCTCGGCTGCCGTCACATCCAAACGACTGCATTCCACCCTGCCGCCAACGGCATGGTTGAGCGTTTTCACCGCCAGCTGAAAGCTGCACTATGTGCACATGATAACGCAGACTGGTACGAAGCGCTTCCCACCGTTTTACTTGACTTACGAAATACTGTCAAAACCGACATTAACGCTGCTCCGGCCGAACTCGTTTATGGCTGCACATTGCGTCTCCCTGGACAATTAGTCGCCCCAACCCCGGAGAGGGCATGGAACTACAAGAGCTACATAGCTCGTCTGACGCACCACATGCGTCAGCTGCATCCCGCGAGACCCAGGGAACAACGCACCCCAGTGCACGTTCCGAAAGACCTTTCTACATGTTCTCACGTATTCTTACGTGTCGACCAAGTGAGACAGCCTCTCTCCGCACCTTACACAGGTCCATACCGTGTTATTAAACGGTCTTCAAAAACTTTGGTGATTGACCGTGGGGGTAAAAGGGATACTGTCTCGATAGATCGCGTCAAGCCTGCGTTCATCGATGAACAACAGTTTGTTCCATCATCGACCTTAACGCAATCTTCGGAGCCACCTGTAACGACGCCCAGCTTTTCAGCTCCACCACAATCCCAGTCACCAGATTCGCCTCAAACTAATACCAGTCACGGTAGAAGAGTTCGTAAACCTGTTCGTTTCTCCGATTTTGTCGAATTCATCCACACTTCATGAATCATTTTCATTTTCTCTCGTTGTTGGTATTATGCTTTTCCGTAAATATCTGAATCTGTCTCCTCGAGTTTTTCCCCCCATCTATCAGGTAAAGTCATGAGGCTGGCACGTTTGGGTCCGTCCGTTCAATGGTTGGCTGTTTCTCAATTGTTTGGTCGTTTGGATGCTTTGGTCTACCCCCAACGCTTTGTCGTCTCACCCGCCCAGGTTGGCCTTTGGATCGTGGTCTGCTTGGCTCAATTTGGCTCGCTCAGGTCGTTTGTCTGGCTCGCCTTCCTGGCTTTGGCTGCTCGTGTGCTTGGCTCGTTGTTTTTGGTCCCCCCACGGCTCGCTGGTACGAACAGGATTTCAGCTTCGTTGTGGCAGTGGATTGGAATGCGGTGGGGGGAGTGACCTCTCCCAAGCGCACCGTCTTTCAGCAGCGGTGAAAGGTCCTACCGGCCCTTTTTCTGGATTAGCCAGTTTTTTGTAGTCCGGTGTGCCCGCTGGGACGGCCCACCGACGATGCATTCCAATCCACAAGAAGATTAAATAATCCAAATACAACCGAACTCCTGTGATTCTGCCTTTATACATTTGCAAGCCAACAGCGATCGAAGTCCTCGTCCCTCGGCCTTCTAGGGGGAGGCCTGTGTAGTGACCATGACATTTTACTCCATCAAACATCACATTCAGACTTGTACACATTTTGTTTTACTTTGCACCCGTCCAAAGCCTATATATACTGGACTGCAATTTCGAACCTGTGCCGCCATCTTGCCCGCGCGTTGCCGGCTGTTGCGCTCCTACGTGGTGTTACTCATTGCTTCACCATTTTCTCCCATTGTCCTCAAGCTATATTCACATAGCTATTGTACATAGCTATTTTCTCAAGACATTCTTAATATCTTGCCGTCTTTTGTCTTACTGGGCTACGGTTTTCTTGTGTAGCATTCGTCAAGCCGCTACAATATCTCACTCAAGTGACCAATGGTGCTTATAGTTGTTCTATCACTGGACTTGGTCAAATCGGTCATTGCGCCGAACTTGCGGCCTAAAAGTGAGAGAACAGGAAGCAGTTCAGAAGGCACAAATTCACCTATTACAGCGCAATCCGCGTATTTCTAGGTACTGGGAGGAAAGTCCCTGGGCGAACTCTTCAGGAAAATACTACAAGTGTTAAGGACGAATGCACTTCCACTAAAAGGGAGCTGGCGCATTGCACACACAACAGAGCATTCACTGTCTGCCCTTGGACTTTGCTATGATGGATAGACAGCGCATTTACATAAAACAAAGTCCGGCTGTGAGGTGGTGATGAAAAAAGTAGCTCAGGATACACTGAGTCGGACTGCGGATAAGATTCGAGGTTGGATACAGTGGAGCAAAGAGTGAGCGGCTTACCAAACACAGTCGGATTTAACATGTCAGAGTGCGAAAACGTTGTACCGGTGGTTTTGATTAAAATTCTTCGGGTGTTTCGGTCTTCCGATGCAAACGGACGACAGATTAGTGTTGCTTTCATTCCATGCCGATATAAAACGGCGAGCAGAACGCGTGAAATTTCGCTGGAACGAATACAGGACAGGAGCTGCATTTGTTCAGATCGCCTAACGTGTGCGTCAGTCAGACAATTTCCTATGCTTATCGGAAGTTTGCGATAACGGCGACGCGTGAACTATCAGTATATTGCGGTGCATAAGTAGCGCGTGTAGTTCCCAGGCTCCATATTTCTGTGCGTGATAGTAACAAGAGGTGCCGGAGACAGGGTATGTGCACACCACTGCAGGCGCCGTAGAACTGCGTTAAAAGCGATGGCACCTGATTCTATTCAAAAATGGAAAACGCTTTTACAATTTTTTAGTCGGCATCCTAAGGTACTTCCGAACAGTGCTAGTCTCGGGTGCTCAGAATTAACAGCAGATTTCCGTACAGAAAAATACGTTAAGGCGTCCAAGAGTATGCTCTTGCGAAATAATGAATTGGTCATCGAATTGTAGTAAAAATAGTGAAAGCCTGTAGTACATGAATTAGGGTAGGTGGCTGCAATATTTCCCTGAGTGCCTGAAAATAATCCTATAGAGGACTACATTAGGGCTCTGACGAACACTCGAAAGTTGTCACCCATAATATTGCATCTTCAGACAGGGGTTTTCAAGAGGCAATAACCTCACGGGCCCTGGTTTGACTTTCAGTACAATGAGCAGGACCCTGGTTTTGCAGGAACCCGCGCTGACCTTGGTGGCTTAGCTGACCTGACACCGTTGGTACAATAAAACAAACGTCACGTGCTCAGCGCTCCATACGTCAGTAGACGGTGATCTAATGTCGTTCGGAGACAGTGATTGAACCCTGATCTCACGATCTAAGCGCAACTGATTTTACTTTCTTAACCCTTAGCTAACACAATTTCAAACAAGCCTTGGCAACGAAACGGCTGCTTAAGCTGCCACAAATTTGCAGCTCAGCTCGTCTGTTTTTAAATATGGTAGCTCAGGACCGCCTCGCGTTTCTTCCATCAAGTGAAGTGAGTTGACTACTCTTTGAAGGCACCTAGGCAACCGTAATTTAAGTCGAGGTCGGGCAGCGGGTCTAAACTCAGTGTTTCTTTCGGTCTCACGTTACTCACTATGCTTCCTTTGGAACTGGTGGCATGTGCACGATAACCCTGCTCAAAGCTAACATATTGAATCACTTTTTGCAATATGTTAACGGACAGTCTTGTTGTACATATTATGCATTGGTCCCCCGACAGCGCGTATGGCGCTGAATTCGGTACAAAACCTTGCTAGGTGATGCCGCGAAAAAGACCGGCCGTCAACCGGTCTGGCGCTTGCGCATTTTGTCACAGCGACGATAACCATCCTCTACTGGGTAATTTATTAGAAAAAGGACCCCTAAAGTTCCATGCAAATTGTATCGTACGTACCTCCTTCGCTAATTGATTACCCCCCCCCCCCAGTTTGCTGCTAGTGGTCTCTCTCAAGATAAAGATGAAGGTTACACGGATGAAAATTACATACACGGTTTTCATATCGAATCAATTCAAAGAGAATTACGTCGCGCAAGAGTCCTTAATTGTTCTTACTGCCGATTTTCTGGTGCGAGCGTCGGATGTGTTGTTGGTTCATGCCCTTGCTCGTTTCATCTTCCATGCATAACCAAAGCCAATGGTATCACTATATTCAAGGACCCATTTCCGTCCTATTGTAGACGGCACGTTCCCAAACAAGTGAGTTTATGAAACTGCTCGTTTCTGCATGACTTCATCTGCACAAACTGGAAACATCTTTAGGGTTGAGTGTTTCAACCTAGACCGATGAGTGAACTTGTAGTTGTGGGAATAAAAGGTGAGGAGAGTCCTCATTTAAGCCTAGGTATGCCGGGTAGACCTACGTGATCAAGATGCCCGCTCACTCATCGTATACTGACAAGAACTTTTTTCATCCTAGTTACCTACTCTTCGTGGGCAGCCGATGAAGTTGCGCAAACTCTGGTCTGATTAAGTTCGGGTTGACGCATATTTGTCACGTAGTGATAGATTCATGGAACGTGGTATACGAGAATGTCTTATTGTCCCCTCGGTGACAGCTTACATATCGCATAGACACTGAACTTACAGATCCGAATCTTTCCTTTCCCGTTGTTCTCCAATTCCTTTCCTTCTTATCTGCTCTCACTGAACTCATCTACAAATTTTGTTATTATCTTCTCACTTTATACCGAAACTGCCACTTTACTCCTTTTTCTTGTTGCACAGCAGGGTCTGCTTGTGCAGGACACGTGCTTTTTGAATAGTTGACAACGACGTGGTCTGTACGTGGTGATTTGGTTCCCACCACAGAATTCTACCGTGGATCAACGATGCACTCAAGATGGAATGATCCTGGGATTTTCCTATTGTTCCTGTCCCGTTTGAATTTAAACCTTGCCGCTACTATGCATACAAAAAAGCAGCAGTGGTACATCCGTGTGTTGTGTTTACGCTTGGCTGTCGCGCGGCTACTAGTCGCCTGTGAGCTAGGGCTACTGCCACCTCGCATGCACCTACGCAGTTCCGAACCGGTTCTGCAAAGGGTTTCACTTAAAACCCGCCAGTGCAGTAAAGCCATACAGTACAGTTGCGAATCACAGTATCGCTTAAGACAGTCTCGCTAATGCCGCCTTTTCTTTGCACGGTAGCCAGCTATTTTTGACATGTTGTTGACAAAATGTAGTCACCTTGACCCTGCATATTTGTTTTCGGGCATCGGGATATTACGGGATATTATTATGAACATCCTTCGTTCTATAGGTCATCGTGTTTGTACGGCAACGAAGCGTCCGTCATTAATTCCTTCACTCTATACCTCAACTAGAGATGGAAATCGCCCGCTGTTGTGCCGCAATACATTAGAAGAAAATGCAACAAAGGTAAGTTTAGTCACCGATAACGGACAGACATCGTTCCGGAGAGCTAACAGCCGGCTGTTATGCCGCAAAAAGTATATTATGCACATGAATTGGGATCGTGGTTAGAAGAGGAGGGTCAAAGAAACAACACAAACGCCACTGTGGTCGGCTCCTAGCCATATCAACAAGTGTGTCCAGACAAACGTGTTCATCTGCTTTCGGACCCCAACCAGGGAGTCGAGGGGCTCAAATCGAGGCTAACTTGGAATTAAGGGAGTTCTTCTTTGCTAGGTCATAGCTTGACCACTCCTCTTTTTCCATCCGAACCTACCGGCGCGCAAACAACGCTCGTCACGCGAGTCGGTGGGTTGGCATGCGCAAGACCTGGTTCAGTTATCGTAGCCTGGTGCGTGATATAGCCGTGCCGAGCGGTTCACTTACTGTGCCATAAACGAGGCGTCGAATACGCTCATTGCTTACACGATGTTCCCACTAGATATGAGCCAAACTGCGAAGGCCCCCGTTGTCGAACGTAACTAGCCTCGTTACGTTTGTTGATTTAATGGGCTGTTTCACAACCGTACAGTACGGTCAAACGTACCACTGCATTGTACAGTCTACCCTTCAGGGCGATAGTGATGTCGCGCCGGCGCCATGTGGCGAAGGTTATCATAAGCGCCCCAAGCTTTTGCTATACTTTTTTTGATCTCATCTTCGATTCCAGCGGCGCTGATACGATTGCCGAGGTAGTTGAATCTCTGAACGACTTCTAGCTTATCCCCACTAAGGGTCAGCGCAGGAGGAAAACTTTGCACTCCGATGAAACAAAGCATAGCCAAAAACGGCTGACAGCCAGTGCTAATCTGTCTATTGCTGTTTGGCACGTTTGCGAGCTGTCACAGATAAAAGCAATGTCATCAGCTTAAAAAAGCATCAGTAGTACGCTGGTACCCACTACCGACGCTTCGTTGCCGCGCAACCACTGCTGGTCGCACGTGGGCTGAGCATATTGCGGGGGTCGCCCTGCCCTTACGTAGGCTCGAACCCGCGCCGCATGGTTACAAGATAAGCTCGTTAACTCTAGGCTACGGGTTGGAATGTCGTCAGCATACTCCAAGTCAAGAAGTTGTTCATCTGGAAGCAGTTCCACACCTAAGTCGTGTCCTGTGAACTCAATCATCGTGACTTCATCAGTAGCGAAATTGTAGAGTAAAGGTGTCAGCGGACATCCTTGGCTTACAACGCTGGAAATATTGAGGGGGGCGACAGCTTATCGTACATCCTCACTCTGCCTGAGCTACGCGTGTATAATGCTCGGATAATATTTACATCTTTCTTAGGTATACCTATCCTGACTACACAGTCCCAAAGTGCACGTCTATCCACCGAATCGAAGGCACCTTTGATGTCGAGGGAGCCAACTACCGTGGGCCGCCAACAAATATGGCGGTGCTCCGACAATTGACGCAAAGTAAAGATGTGATCAATGCAGCCCCGACCTCGACGATACCCGGCTTGGTCCTCAAGCATCTGGCCTTCGCGAGTGCTAGTCAATTTGAAGGATGGTAGAGGCAAGCAATTTGGAGGCGATGGAGATCAGACTGATTCCTCTATAGTTGCTGCATTCCGAACCTGAGCTTCCCTTAAAGATCGGGACAATGTCCTGCTCCCACAATTTCACTACTAACCCCTTTTAATCGTTAACAAGAGCTGGGCCACCGAATTTAAAGGGGCTAGATGATGGTCATTTGGTCCCGCTGCTTTATTCAACGTCGGCAGTCTGATCTCATGCACGACTTCCAAGCGAGAAGGCGGATTCAAAGGGAGCAGGGCGATCATTGGCCGGTGAGGAATCTGACAATTCCGGCCAATTAAATTACCTTTCAAAGTGCTCAACCCAACGTTGTACGCGTTTCGACAAGTTGTGGATAGGCTGTCCACTCTCGTTACATATGTTTCCACTAACACCAGGTCTCATGCTGCCCGTTTCCTATATCAGAGAATAATTTCAATTTCTGGTGCACGGTGAGACCACCAGCATTCGCGATCTCTCTTCAAGCTAACACGGAGTTTTGTCTGGTGCTCTTTCCGAGTCTCATTATGTTCGCTTCTAGCCGAAATGCGCCGCCGAGCATCGATAAGTTCCAAAGACTGCGCAGAGACCCAACCGCCGCAACTAGACTGGACCTTAACGTGGTGCGACGGTTTGCGAACCTCCTCGACCCATTGAGCTATACTGGGTGATGCCTCTGGGTACCTTGAGAGCTACTCCTACCAGGTTGGTCAATGGTTAGAGGTCAGACAGTCTCACTTCGTATGCATGATATAACACCTTTTTGCTGCACACGAGCCGGCTCTTAACCCTCCGGAACGATGTCCATCCGTTACTAGTGACTCCGACTTTTTGCATTTTTTTCTTTTCTAATGTATTGCGGCACAATAGCTGAGGTCTTTTTTATTTCTAGCGAATGTTTATAATGATGTTGACGAGTCTACTGGTTCTCCAAGTTGGGTGTTTGAAATGGGATGGCGTTCATTTCTGTAAAATTATGATTGTCACACCGCTGCCTTGCACACAGGCTTTTGTGCCAAAGGCTTTGGTTGAGTACCCTAATCGTCCTCCTGTCTACGCTGGCCGCCCTGGCAGTATCTAAGTTCACGTGAAACGATGATAATTTCCCCAAACTCTAACTAAATTCTGCATCGGTCGTGGCGCAGATTATCAAGGCTCGCCTTAACTGCTGCATACAGCAGGGCGGGTAAGCGAAAATATGCTATATATATATATATATATATATATATATATATATATATATATATATATATATGCGCTTGATTCCCCAAATACAGCGTGCTTGTTTGCCTGTGAAGAAGTGTGGGCCGGCTCCGTTGATAAAACGTGGCTCCCATCCACATGCCTCCCGGTCTTATTCCTTCGGGTTTACACTGGATATGGGGTGTGTGGTTGGAGCTGTGGGTGGTGCAGCGCAAGCCACCCATGATCCCTATGTAAGCGCAGGTGTCCTGTGGCTGGCCACAGTGACAGGCAAATCCGAAACCAGATGCCGCCAACCATAGATATATACTAGGAACAGTCTGGGATAGACAACCAGCGAAAATCATGAAATGGAAGTAATAAATACAGACCACAAAGAAGAAAATGATAAAGTTCAAAAAACTGTTTGTTTTTGAATCTGGCTTGTCTTTTTTGCTACATCTGAAAGTTTCCAACCAGTGTTGTTCTTCACCTTTGATCCCCCAGCTCGGAATATGCACGGGACCTATGACAACTTAACTGAACGTTAGCGCTTTAATCCTTTGTCGCCACATGATAGGCTGACCACCACACGATTTCCAGCCTGGTCCTATGCGAGCGAAGAGCGCGTCGGGGCAGCCATTTGCATGGCATACGTAAAACGTAGCCCAGCCATCTCAGCTGACGCAGCGGAACCAGTCTGTCAAGTGGAAGTCCCGTGCTATCCAAGATGCGACGTCTACATCCTTGCGCAAGTGGTTCATCCACCACATTCGAGCTATTCTCCGCAGACATCCATTGTCAAAGACCGAAATCCGACGCAACCTATTCACACGAATCGGCTGGGATTCAATCCCATACAGCAACACCGCGCGAACACAGGCATTGTGGACACTGCCGTTTACTCGTTTCTCTTACTCCCATCTCGACCACTATTACTAACCTTCTATTATTCCCAGCTTAGTTGACAGCAACCGAAGTGCCACTGGAGTGGAACCATCGGCAGCCACTTTTTGCAACACTCACCGGACGCGTATCGGCAACAGTCCATCGTATGGCCACGTTGTCCCGTTCAACGTTCACAC